GTTGGGCGACCTCTTTGCACAATATCCAGCTTTTCGTGGAAGGCTCGTCTTGCAAATTGTGTGGAAAGTAGTTCTGCAGCCAGATCAACTTCTTCTCCTTCGGCCATTTTGAGTTAAAATGCGAGTGACAGCTCTAGCAGAGCGAATCCAATCTTGGCAGACGAGAACAAGTCAGGATACAGGATACAGATCACGAGACTCGTGATCTGATTGGCTATTGAAACCTGACGGTGCCCGTTCATTTACAGCGCACAGGGGCCTGCTCTGTTTAATCTGAAGGCCCCGAGCAAGTTTAATTAACCTGGCAACACAAGCTAGATGAAATATGATTGGTTAAAAACTCTACCATAATAAATAAGTTATTTTTCGAGTGGCTTTCAATGTTATTTAAAATAACATTGAAAGCCACTCAACTAAGTGGAAATAATATGACGTAAAGAATACAGAGAATAATTTTGTTAACATATTTATGAAAATAAAATAACAAATTTATGTTATTCTCAGAAAAGTAAATGTACTTTTCTGAGAATGTTTAGGCCAGCAGAGAAGGCCTTGCTGGCCCTCAGGGTCCGCCACTGCACAATGACAAATCCAAATCCAGCTTTGGTACCAAAATCATTCCTGCTGTAACTCAAAACTGCTAACCACCCCAACACCTAACAAGAACATACTATTATTTCATTTCTTTTCTGCAGGCACTTGACAACCTCCCAAGTGCACAAAGCTGCCTGCCTTTCAATCGCTCTTTACCAGCTTGCTTCAATGGCTTTGGGCGTGACATCTTACAAGCCATGCAGCAACAACAGATGAATGCCATCACATCTTTCATTGATGGATCAGTCGTGTATGGCTCCGGGCCAAAAGTCAACAACTTACTGCGAGACCTCTGCGGGTTGAATGGGAAACTCACTGTTAATGAACACTTTAAGGACCCCAAAGGAAGACCCTACTTACCTTTTGAAGAATCTCTCCAATCAGTCTGTCTGCATGGTGAGGAGAATGTGGCATGTTTCCGCGCTGGAGACAGTCGGGTCAATGAGGGTCTGCCTCTGACCAGTTTGCATCTGCTGTGGCTGAGGCAACACAATCAAATAGCCGAGACACTTAAACACCTCAACGGTCACTGGAATGCGGAGACCATATATGAAGAAACACGCAAGATTATTGGGGCTCTGCACCAGGTACAGTATCTTACTTAATATATGGTCCAATTTTGTTGTGGAGAATGAAATGGCTTGGCATGGCGTCATTTTGTCACTGGTTTTCATTCCATGCACTGGGATGGTTTTTATCTTCCAATTTGTTCGAATTGAAAATGGTAAATGTGGTAGTCCTTAATGACAAAGTGAAGATGCACAGAGCCACCTTGGGTTTCACATTTCTCACACAAGTGTAAGAAAACGTAACCACCATTATGGGAAAAGAAACACTTTATTAACAAGCAATTCTGCTAATTTCGCACAAGGTTTTCATGCTTCCTAGTTGAGGATGGACCTTCATCTCTAATCCCAAATTTTTGACGGTGGTTCAAACAAAATTTTGTGAGGTTGTATTTACATTACTTTAGTACAAATTCCAAATTGGTTGATGTCAGAGACAAAAATGCCACCATATTTAGTTACAACTTGCGCAGGTTGAATTTTTTACTTCCTCGCATTTGTAATCTTAGGTCTCACCTCTTAGATCGAGGAGAGAGACAAGCCCCTCCATACGGGACTATTTTTGCTTTTTAAACACTGTGCCACATGGTGTCGTTTTTCTGATGCACATCACTCAACATTGTGCTTTGTGCGCAGGTGCGTCACAACACGGGTGCATTGCGTTCACATTAGAAGTCGTATTAGTAATGTAAACGAGGACATTATAAAATTGGATGAAACAAAAAAATGCAAATTGGGTATTTGCTGAGAAATATTCCAGGACAGATTATAACATAAATTTCTGTTTGGGACAAAAATGCTCTGCTACAACCATTACACCAGCAAACATTTGTTGACAGACTGCTCACCAGCCATGGGCATTCCTGTCATGATTCTGTTTGTGACCAACAGGTGGCACTGAAGGGCTCTCCCTGCAGTTGCACACCTGTTGGTCGTTATGTAATTATTGCTTTAAAAGGACTCCCGGCACAACCACTCGGTGTCGGATCATTGTTTGATTGTTAGTTCCTGTCATGTTTGCTCTGTAATGATGTTTAGGGTCATGTTTTTGTTACTATTAGTTTTGAGCTTCAGTCATGCTTTTTTGTTTGATACTTTGGCTTCGTTTTGTTATCAGGGCTTTGTTTTGGATTTCGTTTTCTGTGTTTATATCAATACAATTCTTTAAACACAACCTGCTCCTCCCTCCTGCCTGCTTTTTGGGGTCCACCACCACCACACAACGTGACAATTCCGTTCCTCGAACGGAACTATTTGTCCATCCGTCCCAGACAGATGCCCATTTTAGGGGTGGAGGATGGAGGACAAGAGGTTTTTAAAGAGGACGGACAAAGCAGGGACAGAAGGGGTTTTTGTCCTTCCTTTAATTGTCCCTAACTGGGTTAAGTCTGTGGTGTCGGGACGCAAAATGACAAGCACTGGAGTGGGGGTCGGCAATCCGCGGCTCCAGAGCCGCATGCGACTCTTTCGCGCCGCCCTAGTGGCTCCCTGGAGCTTCTTCAAAATGTTTGAAAATGGAAAAAAGATAGGGGAGGAAATATATTTTTTGTTTTAATGTGGTTTCTGTTGGAGGACAAACATGACACAAACATTCTTCACGTTGCTTTAAAAATGTGTAGAATAAATATTAAATGTCAACATTTCTGTCAACGAGGATTTACGTCATAGCCTTGGATGCACGTTTCTATTAGCAGGACAGGATGCCAGGCAAGGTGGCTGTTGTGAAAAAAAACATCATTTCATGTACAATTCACCAAGGGTACTGGCAAAGAATGTGAATGTGGATGGTTGAGAGAAGCATTTTAAACGGGACACGTGAGCTACAACAGTTAACACACTGCAAACGTGCGTCCTACGCCTCGATCATCTTAGGAGACGTTACGGATGTTGCTCATTATGGCATCCGTGTGTAAGTGCGTGCGTATGTGCGCGTGCGGTCACGGGTCGATCGCGGGAGGTTGGTTGATCAAAAAGTAGATTCCTAAAACATTCCTAAGTAATCATCTTTATGTTGAATCATTATTTTATCCTCATTGAACAATGGTACTTTTTCTTTCAAACTTCCAATATTGGAGCAGTATGAGCTGTATTGGCATTTGTAAGGATTTAGGCTTTTTGAGCTGGAGGGTCATGGTTCGAGTCCCGCTGCAGACAAATGTAAAAATGGTAACAAGTTGGTGGAAACATGCTTGTTTGTCTTTGTCCTGGCTACTGTTGCCGTTTATCCCGGCAATAATTTAAAAGCAGCAATGTAATGCTCTCACTGGGCATTAGTTTGGCTTTTAAAACTAAATTACAGTGTTTTCTGCTTTTTCTTAGATTATAACCATGAGAGATTATGTTCCAAAAATAATTGGGAAAGAGTTTTTTGACAATTACATTGGACCATATGGAGGATATGATCCAACTGTGGACCCATCTGCCTCGAATGTTTTTGCCACGGCGGCATTCCGGTTTGGTCATGCAACGATCTCCCCAGTCGTCAGGAGACTCAATGCGAGCTACCAGGAACATGAAAGTTTCCCCAGTTTAAAGCTGCATGAAACCTTCTTCAGTCCATGGCGAATCATCAAAGAAGGTAAGAGTTATTCATGAAACTGGCCAGACATATGTTGCTTGTCATTTCTTTACTCTACTGAAATCTTCAGCATTATCTCCACCGTAAGATACGTTCCCTTAATAGACCACTTTTTAACATTTTGATGAATGCTAATACAGAAAATTTGGCAGAACATCCCATGTAATGTATATTTTTACGAACATAATAGCTATTGTTTTAAAAATAAACAATATTATAACAACCACGGGCGCAACAGAAAAAAAATTTCCATTGGGTGGCCAGGGTGACAAAACACCTCAGGCCGGGTTAGCTAAGATTGGGCAGGCATGAGTGCGTTATCCAGCCACAGTCAGGGTTTCATGAAAATAATTCAAACCTATCCACAACAATGCCCATCACACACATAATCAAGCAGGAACAAGTCTTCGTAAAAACCAAAATGTTGCTGATTTTAATTTACTAGATACTGCTACTTTCTTTGCTGTTGCTTTTGCTCCCCTAGTCTCCTCTCATGCAGTGATTCCCAAGCCCACGTAAACAGCAGTGATGAATTATCTCCAACGTCAGACGCCATTTTGTATCCTACAATCAATGGTTCATTCAGTCAAATCGTATCTAAAAAAAAGCAATGACCAAAAATCTTGTAAAGGGTCTGTATTATGCTATTTTAAGATTTCCACAGTTAACTATAGGCACGTGTTTGTGGCACAATGGTGATCTGATTTCTTTTGAAAATATGAGTTGTTTTGTTAGCTATTTTAACAATGATGTGAGACGTCTGGCTCACTAAAACCCCGTCCCTGTGCGTGTGGCTGCCGCACCATTTTCATGATGTTTCAAAAGCCAGCCACTGCGTACGTATGAATCCACATGTATCTGTGCACGCATCACCCACAAAACAGTAAATACTAATAATAAAGTCGCCGGGTAGGCCGGCGCCTCTGCTGGGGAGGCCGCTCGTAGCGCCTCTTTCCCGGATACACTTGTCCCGCTGGTTGCTTGAGAAAGCAGACGCGTGTTTAGTCTGCAGGGGCAGTATGGAGGTGGCTCCTTCAATCTTATAAGATTGAGGACCCAATCATTTTATTGGATTGGACGGAGATGATGTTTAGAGATAGGAATGAGCAGGAATGCTCATAAATGGGTGAATGGAGGAAGTTAAGTTAAGATATCCTTTATTGTCCCACACTGGGGAAATTTAGTCTACAGCAGCAAAATTGTGGGGTAGAAAGAAGAAAAAAAACAGTGTTTGTATGCACAAAATAAATGTTTCAGAAGAGAGCTGTACACAGTTCAATATAAGTGCAATATATATATATGCAACTGGTATAAGGTGGCTGTGCTATTTACAATTGTTACTGGTTTGTCACGTATTTTATTTTTTTTATTCAGCAAGCTGACAGCAGTCGGTAGGAACGAGCGGCGGTACCTCTCCTTCTTGCAGCGCGGGTGTAACAGTCTCTGGCTGAAGGAGCTGCCCAGTGCTGTCAGGGGGGGCTGGAGGGGGTGGGAGGGACTGTCCATCATAGCTTTTAGCTTAGCTAGCATCCTCCTATTGCCCACCTCCTCCAGAGTGTCCAGGGAGCAGCCCAGGACAGAACTGGCCCTCCTGACCAGTCGCTCCAGTCTCTTTCTGTCCCGGGCTGAAATGCTGCCTGATCATCAGACAATGCCATAATGGATGGCCGAAGCCACCACAGAGTTATAGAATGTCTTAAGGAGTGACCCTTGAACCCCAAAAGACCTCAGTTTCCTGAGCAGGAAGAGTCGGCTCTGTCCCTTCCTAATCAGGGCGTCCATGTTGGTGGACCAGTCCAGTTTATTGTTTAGAAGAACACCCAGGTACTTGTAGGATGTCACCCTCTCTATGTCCGTACCCTGGATGTTTATCAGTGCAGGTGAGGGCTGTTTCCTGTAGAAATCCACAACCAACTCCTTAGTTTTCCCGGGGTTGATCTGGAGGTGATTTTGCTGGCACCAGTCCACAAAGTCCTTCGTCAGTGCCTTGTCTCCCGATCGTGTCCCTCTGTAATGAGGCCGACAATCGCAGAGTCATCGGAGAACTTCTGAAGGTGGCAGGTTGGAGTGATGTGTCTGAAGTCTGAGGTGTAGAACAGGAATGGAGCCAGGACAGTCCCCTGCGGCACCCCAGTGCTGCAGAGAAGCCTGTCCGACTCACAGCTCTGTACCCTCACGTACTGCGGCCGGTTTATGAGGTAGTCTGTAATCCATGATGTGAGGTGGTGGTCCACTCCGGCGTTCTGCAGTTTATCCCCCAGTAAGTTGGGCTGGATGGTGTTGAAGGCAGTGGAGAAATCAAAGAACATGATTCTCACGGTGCTCCCAGCCTTCTCCAGGTGCAACAGCACTGAGTGGAGGAGGTCGATGATGGCGTGCTCCACGCCGATGCCAGGCTGATAGGCAAACTGCAGCGGGTCCAGTGCAGAGCTGACCAGCATTCGAAGATAGGCGAGGACGAGTCTCTCCAGCGTCTTCATCAGGTGAGACGTCAGCACCACTAGGCTGTAGCTGTTCAGCTCCTTAGGGTGGGGGGTCTTGGGCACTGGGACCAGGCAAGAAGTTTTCCACAGCTGTGGAGCTCTGCCCAGCTTCAAAAAAAAAAAAAAAAAAGATTTTCATATACTGACTGCGCAACCACCTTTTTTAAAAACATACAGTATTGTATGCTTTCCTTCCATGCATATACTTGAAGTCATGTGGCTTGAATATATTTTCTTCATCCATCCAAACAGAACCTCTATCCCCATAGCACACAAAGCCAGAGGTGTCTGATAAATAACACAAGACATAAATCAGTCGATGTTGTATGGTCTTAAAGCTGAGAAGCAATGCAAACTTGAAAAGATGAAACTTTGCCAGAGAGCTTTTGTTTGTCTCCGTTGGCCGTTCAAAAAGGTGCATCGATTTGCGGAAGCATACACAGGGAGCGGGGGTCTGCTCTGAAATATTTATGAGAACGAAGAACGAATGGGCATCGTAATAGAGAATGCCAATGTGAAGCAGTTGCATATTCCTCTGCCATTGTTAGGTGGAAATCAAAAATCTCTGTTGAGCGATCAATGGACATCAGCAAATGTTGCTACGCCCATGCACAAGCATTTGTAAAAAAGAAAGCTTTCTCAAATAGACACTTCAGAGAGATGTTAGGTTTAGGCGCCCTCCAACATTTAATAAACAAACACGGAAGGAAGACAAGAGAACGGACAGGTTGTACCCGGTTGCAATCTCTGACCCACTCTGAGATACAACCTGCCAAGTCCTCAATTTATTGAAAAAAGAGGTCCCTAATACACGAGCTTCTAAAGGGAAGGGGAAGCACACACATACGTCAGAACCATTGATGAAGTCCACAGAAAGATGTCTGGTCAGAAACAATGCACTCCTGTGGTTAGAGGAGTTCATGAGCTAATTTGTGCAAGCTCGTCCTGAGCGCGCCGTCTCAAGGTAGCCATTTCCATTCCCCAGAGGTTGCTATTGTTAGGTTTTGCGTGGTGGTAGTTGGAGGACCCCAAAAAGCAGGGAGGTGGGGAGAAGCAGGGTGGACTGAACAAAATGTATTTAACAAAAAATACAAACTTAGGCGGAAACAAAGGCAAACACAGTGACCAACACAATGACCCAACCTCGACAGGTCGGGCAGGGAGTCCTATTAACAGAAACACTAACTAATGACACAATGACTAACAGGTGTGCCACTGCAGGAAGAGCCCTAAAGTGCCACCTGTTGGTCTCAAACAGAACCACCCTAACAGTTTCAGGGGTGTCAAACTCAGATCCTGGAGGGCCGCTGTCCTGCATATTTTCCAAGTCTCCCTGTTGCAACACATCTGATTCAACTGATCATATCATCAGTAAACTCTGTGGAAGCCTGACATTGAACTTGTTCATTTGAATCAGGTGTGTTGCAACAGGGAGACTTGGAAAACATGCAGGACAGCGGCCCTCTAGGACCGGAGTTTGACACCTGTGCTGTAGGCCTTCTTCCCCTCTCTGATCCTTCTCCTCAGCTGGATCTGCACGGACTTCAGCTCCTCTCTGTTTCGCGACATAAAAGCCTGTTTCTTCTTCTCCTTCAGGAGGGCCTTTATGTCGGGATTAATCCATGGTTTGTTATTAGAAAAACATCGCACAGTCCTGGTGGCTATGGTGTTCTCCTCACAAAAGTTTATGTAGTCCGTGATGGTGTCGGTGAGTGAATCAATGTCCTCCCCATGAACCTCGCTGAAGAGTTCCCACCTGGTTGAGTCAAAGCAGTCCCGCAGAGCCTCTTCAGCCTCCGTGGACCATTTTTTGACCATACAGGTCACAGCTGGCTGCCTGTGCACCAAGGGTTTGTACACAGGCTGGAGAAATACCAAGTTGTGGTCCGCTCTTCCAAGAGGGGGGAGGGGGTGGGGTGTATATGCCTCCTTGGTGTTGGCATAAAACAAATCCAAAAAAAAAACACCACTTTGGGGGTATTTTTATTTGTTTATTTTGTAAGGTATTAGCATTTGAACACGGATAAATGCTCCAAAATCAGATTTTGCATGGTATAAGCCATCAGTCGGCATCCCGCGGCTCCTGAGCCTCATGCGGCTCTTTCATCCTTATAATGCGGCTCTGATTGGCTTGGGAAAATAAATTACTAAAAATTTTTTTTTTGTATTTAATTGAAGTGTGTTTTATTTGTGTTAGTTTTTACATTATTTTAGTTCTAAATTTGAAGACTATTGTGATGTTGAAATATTAAAATATTAATTAAATTATTTGATATTATTTTTTCGTCGCTCAAAATAGACGTCACACTGCGGAAGCTGGTATACCCGCTGAAACGGCGTCTATTTTGAGCGACTTTCAACCCCGGCAAAGCCAATGGAGAAATGTAAGAAAAGAAAAATATCTCAAGAAAATAGAACATTCAATGATGCCTGGGCAGATTCATTTGCATTTACCTCGGGCGAGAGTGGCCTACCAGTATGCCTAATTTGTGGAGAAAAACTGGCTAACAATAAACGGTCAAATGTCGCAAGACATTTTAACAATACACACAGAGCCTTTGCTGAAAAATATCCAGAGGGAGAAGAGAGGAAAAAAGCTGTTTCGGAACTGATGCAGAAGGCTGACCGGACGAAAAATCAATTCAAGAAGTGGGTGAAGTCTGCAAATTCAACTACATATGCAAGCTTTGTGGCCGCATTCAGACATTAGTTATTTTTTCAAGAATTCAAAATGTGTTCATTACATCGGTAAAATTTAATTTTCTCCGTAGCACTTCATAAGACATAACCACACTATAGTTGTTTATACAAAGTGTAAAGGTAAGAAAAAGCAATATATACAGTGTTATCTTCATTTTAGATAAGATAAATGGATATAAGGATGACGCCTCATGGCATTTTTCTGCTTTCGTTTGCTACATGGACAATTTAAATTCAGCTTTTTAATTTATTTGAAAGAGACATTCATTGTTAGTATTTTTCAAGAATTCAAAATGTTCAAAATGTGTTCATGAAATGAATAAAATGTAATTTTCTCTGTAGCACGTGGATTTCATAAGAAACATGCTGCGGTAAAGTAGTAGAAGTTTTTTTTTTTTCATTTTAGATGTGCGGCTCCCAGTGTCAAAGGTTTCCGACCGCCGGTTTAGGCCCTTTTTTTTTTTTTTTTTTTTTTTTATGATTCTAAACTTTGATTTTGACTTAGTTCGTTCCTGCTTGTATAATGAATATGTTGGGCAAGATTAGTATATATGTGCTTTTCATTTAATCAAACCGTGAATGTAGATGGTATGATAAACAATGACATCTCTGCCATGTCTTTTGCTTCCCATGGTGTGGAAGTTATGATCTTGATTGACATTGACTGTAAAAATGGAATGTTTGTTACAGAACACTAGTATGACGACCATTTTTAGTAACTAGTAATCCAACACAGTGGTCCCCAACCCCTAGGCCGTGGACCGGTATCGCACAGAAAGAATAAAGAACTTATATTACTTCCGTTTATTTATTTTGGAATCTCAAATGTTTTATTTTGAAAAGAATACCGGATTCTCAGTTACATGCGTCTAGAGTATGTCACTCTTGACGCACGTCAAGACGTGCTTCTCGGTCACATGATAGGTTACTGCTAAAATGAAACCGGGGAGCTAGCAAAATGAGTTAAAAAATGAGTAAAAAAACCTCTCGTTGAGAAGGGGAAAAGGCCTGGCCAGGAGACAGAAGAGAAGCCTACGACTTTCAAGAAAAAGAAGGCTACATTTAATAGACAGTATCAGAAGTCCTACTTAAAATATTTATTAATCTCAACGGGAGATTCCCACGCACCAAGCCCACTCTGCATAATATGCAGCGATGATTAGTTGTATTTTTCATGCACTTTGTATTTGCAGTTTATCTTATTTTGAAGGCATGTTTAAATGTTACCGTAGCGACCAGAGTATTTTGCGGCCAGATAGGACGTTCCTCCTGTCATGATTCGTGTTTGTTTTTATGTTACGAAAATACCACAGTTTTCACGCAGGTCAAATCATATTATTTTGTTGTATTTACACGCCTTAAAGGACGGTCCCTGAAAATATTGTCTGACATTAAACCGGTCCGTGGGGCAAAAAAGGTTGTGGACCGCCGATCTAACAGATCAGTGTTTTGAAATTTGTACTGTCGTCTGACTGCAGTTAATATTTAAAAATTTCAGTGGCGGGCCATGCATTTCAACCTTAGGCCTTCAGTGACGTCACATACATACACAATATAGGCTCATCAAGCAGCACTTAATTTCAGGAGCATTTAAAACCATCAAGTATGCATTCACAATTAAGAGCAGGAAACTAAATTTACAGATAGTCAAAAATAAAAAGATGATTTAAAAATACGAAATAAAATGCCACCCAAATTAAGCTGTGTGATCTTAAACAAGTCTGTCCAATAAATTGCGCAATGTCGCAGTTTCATATAAGACACCAACCAAACAATAACAAAACAAACT